ATGTTCGCCTTCTCGACGTGGAGTATTAGTACCATTCACAAAGAAAGACGTAATAAAGCTTCCATATTATTAATTTCACAGGGAAAATCCACTATGTCATTAGAATCAATTGTTTGTTACTTACCTCAATTATAAAGTTCATACAATATTCAAATTGGTCAACTTTGTATTAGGTTTTAAAAGCAGACAATATATTTGGATTTTGTCATCTGGATATTTCAGCTCATCTGGATAACGTTAGGCGATGATACGAAATGAAAACAATAGAAGTGATTGATATAGTTATGGTAGTATTTATGATAGTACTTCTACTGTTTTCACTCCATATCATCGCCTAACGTTATCCAGATAAGCTGAAATATCCAGATGACAAAATCCAAATATATTGTCTGTTTAAAAGATATTCAACTGAAATAAAAAATTACAACATTGGAAACTGAGAAAACCAAAAGCAAATACGCCTTGGTCTTACGTAATGGAGATTGGGGTGGATGTGAATCATTCGTATATGTAATGTTAATAATTTAATTGGACTCAAGTTAAAATACATTCAAAACCAGTTTGGATCGTTGAATTAACTAAAAGTTATTGTTGTGATATTCTATAAAGATGCGCAGTTCTTCAAGTTAATTGAACTTTTTATTTATGGCCTTTTTGACATAGAAAGCAGCACAGATCACTTTCATTGCTAACACATTTTTCACAAACAAATCGTTTGCATCTATTAACACATCCGAAGACTAATTTATATAAATACCCCTCTATTTAGCATATTTCGATTTTATAACATTAATTCGTATCTTTCAAACGAAAAAAATTGAACAAAAATATTTATTTTAATAATATTTACTAAAAATTCACATTGCACGTACAATGTGTTATGTGACTTCGTTCTTTTATTATCACACAGATTAAAACAACGTGAGAAACACCGAAGTAGAGGCAAGAACAATGGCGATAACTTTTACATTATGACTATGTCTGGCAAAAACCAAACCATTTGAATGCATATTTTTTATCAAACTCAAATAATATTATACGTATATCAATAAATTAAGACTGCTGAGAGTGTATCTTAATTCAATATGAAAGAGATTGAATATTGAAAATATTGTTTGATTATTTCCGGCATTACAATGCATCAAATTAAGTCGATGGAAATAATAATGAAGATTTAATTGAAATCGTTAAGAAAATGCTTGTAGTTATCGATGTTAATGTGATTTATTCGAATGAATAAAATTCGCACAGATTAAAAAAATATTTGTAATTTATTCAATCAAAATTGTTTATTTTCTTTTATATCAATGACATTGTCACTAGTTAAAAATGTGCACATTCCTTTCCCGTCATTGTGTAAGAGATTTGAATCAATTTTATTCAGTTATAGTCCAACAACTTCGCCAGCTTTACGATAATCAGCATTGGCAAATATTCCCGATTGATTTTTAGCTATTGCGCACACCACTGAGCCACGATCACTGTATCGATTCGTTTTATGGCCGATCAACTCCAGACCCGTGATTAGTTGCTGAAAATTTAAAATATTCAAGTGGAAATCCGTTCAAAATATTTAAAAACATCTCGAATTTGGTACCTGCGTATTTCCATATTCGTATTGTACTTCCATCGGTATAAGCTGATGATGTATTCGTGGTGCATCTACAGCTTCTTTGATGTTATGATCAAACCAAAACATGCCGGCAATAACCTAAAACATTTGTTGACAATTGACAATAATCTCCTCATACAAATGGAAAGCATTTATAATATATTTACCATTGCTATAGCAGTTGGAATTTTCACACCGCCCGCAGCGCCAGCGACTAATCGCACCTCGCCATTATCATCGGTTAC